GTGGGACCTTGGGCAAGTGGCTTCATCTCCACAGGCCTCAGTTTCCTCTTCTGTAAAATGAAGGGGTTGCGCCAGATGCTCTCTAAAGACCCTTCCAGCTCTAGACCTATGGTCCTATAAGTGTCAGAGGCAGGATTCGAACCCAGGTCTTTCTGAATCCAAGTCCAGCACCACATCCACCACGTTGATTTAAAGGAGAGAGAGCTCATTATGAATGTTTCCTAGAGGAGATGGGATTTGATCTGCATCTTGAAGGATAAATAGACTCCAAATGGGGAAAGTTGGGGAAAGGAAGCATGAGCAGCCTGATGAGAGAGGATGGTCCTGACTTACCACCAGTAGGGTAGGTCCAGTATTATGGACAGATTCACTCCTGTGTTTGCTTGATCAATATCAAGGGCACAGAGCGCTGTCAGGCTTGTGTCAGCTTGTTTTGTCTAACTGTACTTTGTTAGGCAGGCAGGTGACGTAGTGGAAAAAGCACTGGGCCTGGGTCCAGAAGACCTGTGTTCAAATCCAGCCTTAGACAGTTACCAGTTGTGTGACCCTGGACAAGTCATTTAACCTTTGTTGTCTCATCTGTAAAATGAGGATAAGAGCACCTAGAGCATCTAGATGGCATAGTGGAGAGAATGCCTGGAGTCAGGAAGACTCATCTTCCTGAGTGTAAATACAGCCTCAGACACTTAGTAGCTGTGTGACCCTGGGCAAGTCACCCTGTTTGCCTCAGTTTCCTCATCTGTAAAATGAGCTGGAGAAGGAAATGGCAGATCACTCCAGTACCTTTGCCCAGAAAACCCCAAATGAGATCATGAAGAGTTGGACATGACTGAAACAACTGAATGACAATAACAAAAGAGCACCCACCCTCCAGGCTGGTTGTAAAGACCAAATCAGATGATATTTGTAAAATGCTTTACAAACCTCAAAGCTCTGTGTAAATGCTATCTTTTTGTTATTTTTTTTAAGGCAATTGGGGTTAAGTGACTTGCCCAGGGTCACACAGCTAGTATTGTCAAGTGTTTGGTCTAAGGCTGGATTTCAACTCAGGTCCTCCTGACTTCAGGGCTGGTGCTCTATCCACTGCGCCACCTAGCTGCCCCTAGTTATTGTTATTTTTATAAGAGAGGACTATTGGTGGGTCAGTCAGTAATAGCAACGTTTAAAAAAAAAGCATCAATAAAACATCTTTTAAACTTATCAGGTGGCACAGTGGATTGAGCACCAGCCCTGGATTCAGGAGGACCTGAGTTCAAATTCGGCCTTAGGCACATAACACTGTGTGAAAAAAGTGTTATGTTATGCTTAAGTTAAGCAAGTCACTTAACCCCATTGCCTGACAAAATAAATAAAATAAAATAAAATAAAATAATCAGCATCCCATAGCCTTCTCCCCTCAAGACTACTTCTAATGACAATTCATATTTGTACCACCCTTTACAATTTACCAGGGACTTTCTTCCTGACAGCCTTGCAGAGTAGACATGCCATCCTTCTTTTATGACTGAGAAGACCTTACTTAAGGCTCAGACAGTTGTGACTTTCCCACAGTCACTCAACCAGAAAGTGCCAGCACCAGGACTCCAATGCTGGTCTATTGACCCCCAAATCCAACCTTCTTTCCACTCTTAAATGCCCCTTTACTAACACGATGCTGAAAAATTCCAGACCCATTTACCTGAACATACAGCTCTTCTCCCCTCAACCCATCCTTTACAAGGCTAATTTCTGTGACCACATCTCGTCCAAACTTCCCTATTTCTGGTAAAGTTGCCACTATCGTTCCACTTTTCCAGGACTGTAACCTTGGAATCATCCTTGACTTTGCACTCCCTTTATGCCAATATCCAATCATTTCTACGTTTTAGATTGAATCTATGTCTTAATCACACAACCACCACCCTCATTACATTTTGCCTGGATTATAGCAATAGGGTCCCACTCGGTCTTTCTAACTCAAGTCTCTCCTGTCCATCCTATACATTGCTTCCAAAACAATCTTCCTGAAGTGCAGATCTCACCTATTCAAGCAACTGTCTACAGGCTTCCTACTGCCTCCAGGGCAAAATACAAACTCCTTTGATTAGTTTCTAAAGCTCTTCTTCCTTCTTTGTTTTTGCTTTTTGGTTAGGCAATGGGGTTAAGTGACTTGCCCAGGGTCACACAAGCTAGTGTCAAGTGTCTGAGGCCAGATCTGAACTCAGGTATTCCTGACTCCAGGGCTGGCACTCTATCCACTGCACCACCTAGCTCCCCTTAAAGCCCTTCTTAACCTGGCCCCAACCCATCTTTCCAGCCTCACTGGCTAGACATTACTCTCCCTTTTCCCTTCACTGATCCAACTAAACTGGCCTTCTCTCCATTCCTCACACATGACATTCTCCTATCTGCCTTACATGCCTAGAACATGTTGCTTCCTTACTTCCACCTCACATTCTCCCTCTTCCTTTAAGACACCCTCGAGCACCCTCTTCATGATCACTGCCTCCGCAACTGCTACTACCTCCCCTCCCAGACCACCTTGTATTTAACTCCCTTGTCTATATTTTTATTTACTGACTTTATCTTTATGCCACTTCTATTTTTCATACGTACTTGTTGTCTTCCCCAGTTAAGATGTAGGGGCCTTGTGAGAAGGGATTGTTTCATTGTTTGTGCTTGTATTTCCAGTGGTTTGCACAGTGCCTAGAATATATTAGACATTTAATAATATTTGTTAATTATTGATTGATTGATTCTTTTCCAACTCTCCATAATCGTACTAAGATGTAGAGTCCAAAGTGTGCCACGTGCCCAGAAAGTCCCAGAGAAAATGGGGAAAAAAAGAGATGGTACAATGTCAAGTCAGGCTAGGGAAGGGTCCCCCTGAGGTCCCTGGGTGAAAGGGATTGAGGAAAGAGGCCTGTGTACCTTTAAGACCTGTCTGGCCATCCTGGTGGCTGCAGAGCAGTGGGTCAGGGAATGAACTGTTGATCCTAACCAAGTTTGCCAGCCATGCTTTTCTCATGGCTCCCACACAATGGCCCGTTTTTTGCCCACCTGCCGATAATGCTTAATTAGGCGAGGAGTTGATTAATTTGAGGTAATTGACAGCTAATTACAGGCCTGAGGGCTCATTAACTTGACGTCTTGTCTCAGTGAATTGGCTGAAGGGAGTCAGGTGATGGGCAACCTTCCTTACTCCCTTCCTGCTCCCTCCCCGTGTGCCACCCCCCTGCTCCCTAGCCAGCTGCGGGCAAGCAAGACCTTGACCAGGGCACACTCAGTAGTGGCAGCAGTGGCAGCAAAGGGGCTAGGAACACAACGGATGGGCTCCAGACATCCCTGCTGGGTTCTCTCAAGGCCACATGGGAATAATAGTGACACTTCCTGGTCAATCAACAAACATACTGGCATAATCACTGAGAGATACAAAGAAAGAGAAAAACATAGTCCCTTGCCTTCAAAAGACTCACATTCTAATGGGGAAGACAAAATACAAACAAATATATATGACGTAAATGGCCACAGGAAGGAGTAGCAAATGGCGGGCTAGTTATGTTTAACCAGGTAGCCCGAGCAGGGTGTCAGCTGATAGACCTTAGGCTCCTACCTACTTTCTCTGCCCTTCCATTTCCTTTCCTGAACACCAGTAGAGATTCTTGAGCTCAAGAATGAAGCACAGGCCTTGTGGGAGATTTCCCTAACAACATGCTCATCAGAAGGTTGATTTACAGCCAAAGAACTGAAGCCATGCAATGAGAGGGAAGAAGGAGGGGCGAGGAGTTGAGAAGTGAAATGTGGACAGGAGAGTTGGATCTTGCTTGAGAAATAACATAGTTCAGTAGAAAAAAAATAGGACCAGGGTTCAAATCCTGACTCTGTCACTGCCTGCGTGACCTCCACCAATCATTTAACCTCTCTGGACTTCAGATTCCTCAACTAAAAATGAGGTGTTCAACTGCTAGATTCCAGCTCTAAATCTATGACCCTGTGGTGCCACCTTTTTCCATTGGATTGCTTGAATGGTGCAGGTGGAAGGTGAATAGAGAGTGTTTGTTAAACATCCGCAAAGTGTCTTTACCTTCCAGAATTTGGGGGTGAAGGGTGAATCAGTGTAAGGAATCTAACTGGCTGTTTGAGTCCTTTATTTGTCTGTATTTGCTTATAGCTTCCAATGAGGCCTCTCCGTGAGGAGGAAATAAAGATGTTCCCGTGACTGGTATTTATACTGCATATTTCTGCAAGAGTTGAGGAACCTGTCTCCTCTTTTCTCTGAAAGGTTTTCCAATATGTAGAGGCTCCTTCCCTCTCTTCAGCATGTCCCCAGTCTCCCTGAAAGACAAAGTTCCAATATTGTTCCAATATTGTCATGATCCTATGAGAACCTAGTCTGTATAAAGGGAAAATGAGACTGAACCATGCAAGGCAGGTCTCTTACCTCACATAGCAGCGGCTGATGAACTCAGGACACTGGAAAACAAGATATGGTCCCACCACCACCTGCCAAGCTAAAGAATCCTAGATTCTAAGTGTTGTAACAGACCTCAGAGGTCATCCAATCCACGTCTTAGCTCAATAGGAATCCCCTGTATTACGTCCCAGTAATTGATTATCCAACTTCTGCTCAAAGACTTGATGTGCCCAGGAAACCACTAGCTCAGAGGCAAACCATTTCACTTTTGAGCAGTTTTAATTTGGGGGAATTTTTCCCCTTATATGAAGCTGAAATCTGCCTCTCTGCTACTTCCACCCATTCTATTCTTTGAGGCCAAGCAGAACCCATTTTAGAATTTCATATGACTGTCCTTCAAATACTTGAAGACAAGTATCATATGCCCACTAAATCTTATCTTCCCCAGGCCAAAATTCCCATCTTTCCACCAATACTCACATGGGATAGATTCCTTTCTTCTTCTTCTTCTTTTTTTTTTTTTTTGGTTAGGCAATGGGGTTAAGTGACCTGCCCAAGGTCACACAGCTAGTAAGTGTTATGTGTCTGAGGCCGGATTTGAACTCAGGTTCTCTTGAATCCAGGGGCAGTGCTCTATCCACTGCACCACCTAGCTGCCCCAGATTCCTTTCTTCTCATCACTCTTGTAACCATCCTTTTTATTTGAAGAAAAAAATTAAATAATACATTGTATTCATTTTAATCAGCCAATATCTATTTTTTTCACCCTCCTGTCCCAAGCCTCCCATTCCCCACCTTGAGAATACAAGAAAAACCACATATAGTATAGTTAATTAAAGCAAATTTCTATACTGGCTATGTCCAAAAAATATTTGTCTCATTTTGCTTTCTGAGTCCTTCATCTCTCTATCAGGAAGTAGGTAGCATGTTGCATCATAAGTCCCCTGGAATCCTGGTTGGTCATCACACTGCTAAGAGTTCAGCACAATAGCATTCCATCACATTTACATGCCATAACTTGTCCAGCCATTTCCTAATTGATGGATACCCCCTCAAATTCCCATTTTCTACCACTTCAAAAGAAAACCCTGTAAATATTTTTGTACATCCTTATTTGTTTTGCTTAAGATCAATCTCTCCCTTATTCTACCCTACCTCTAGTTTCCCCTCCTCTCTTCTCTCCTTCTCCTATTTCCCTATTGAGTGAAATGTATTTCTGTACTCAGCTTTTCTGTGTGTTTTGTTTTTTTTTGGTTAGGCAATGGGGTTAAGTGACTTGCCCAGGTCATACAGCTAGTAAGTGTGATGTGTCTGGGCCGGATTTGAACTCAGGTCCTCCTGAATCCAGGGCCGGTGCTCTATCCACTGCGCCACCTAGCTGCCCCCTCTCTGTGTGTGTTCTTCCTTTGATTAGTTCAGATAAGAGTATGGTTCAAGTGTCATCCACTCTTCCCCACTCCTTCCTCCTTGTTTATTTAAATGTTTTATGCACTCTGATTATGAAATAATTTCCCCGACCTTCCTCCCCTTGCCCAAAGAATATTCCTCTTTCCCTCTCTATCCATTCTTTCCTTAAGATCATCAAAGCATGAGAACAACTCCCAGGCCTTGTCTAATTAGACTCTCTCTATGAACCCTGATTATGATAGGGTTCAAAGGGGACGCATGCACCATCTCCTCTGTTTGAATATAGCCGGTTCCTCCTTGTTCAGTCATGTTTACCTTGTCATATTTAGCTTTGCTCTTGTGTTTGAACTTCAGAGTTTCTCCACAGCTCTGGTCTTTTGATCAGGAATGCTTAGAAGTGCTCTATTTCTTTAAAAACCCATTTTCCCGCCTTGTAGCATTATACTGAATTTTGCTGAGCAAGTTATTATAGGTTGCAACCCATATCATTTGCCTTCTGGAGTATTGTATTCCAAGCTCTTTGCTCCTTTATAGTGTTGAGGGCTAAGTTTCATGTGATCTTGACTATTGCTCCTTGGTACTTGAATTCTTTCTGTCTGTTTGCAGTATTTTTTCTTTGACCTGGAAGCTTTAGATTTTGGCTGTGATATTGGTGGGAGTTTTCATTTTAGGGTTTCTTTCCGAAGGTGATTGGTGGATTCTTTTTCCACTTTATCTTCTGGTTCTAAGAGACCTGGCAGTTTTCTCTTAAGATTTTTTTTGAAATATTATATTTAGACTCTTTTTTAGTTAACATTCAACTAGTCCAGTAACTCTTAATTTTTTTCCTCTTTTCCAGATTATCTTTGTTTTTGTTTTTTTTGTTTTGTTTTTGCTGTCTTACATTTTCTTCTATTTCCCCCCAGCCTTTTGACTTTATTTAAATATTTCTTGTCCCATGGAGTTAATAGCTTCTACTTAGTCCATTCTAACTTTCAGGGAGTTTGTCATTGAGCAAGACTTTAAACTTCTTGTGCCAAGCTATTAATTACCTTTCCTATTCTTTCTTCCATAATTCTGGTTTCTTTTCCATTTTTTCCCTCAGGGGCTCTCATTTCACTTAAAAAACATTTTAAAAATCTTTATTGAACTCCTGCTCCATTTCTTCTGGGAATTCTAGTTGAGTCTGTGCCCAGGTTGTGTTTTTCTCTGAAATACTGCTTGTAGGTATTTTGGAGTCATTTTCTCATGGGTCTGTGTCTTGAGCCTCCCTATCACCATAATAGCTCATCGTGGTGGGGTGGTTTTATTTGTTTGCCCATTCTTCCAGCCTACTTTTGACGTTGGGGCTGGGCTCTGTGGTATTTCTGAAGGGAAGGTCTGGGCTGGTCCTCTTGCTGTTTTTGTGGGAATATTGAGTATTGTGTTATTCTGGGGCGTAGGGATAGCTGGGGACCTGCAAGCTTTTACTGCTCCCAAAGCGGTCTGATCCAGGGCAAAGTCTGATTGTCGACCCCCCGGTCTGAGCTCTTCGAGTTCCTAACCTGTGTCTGGGTCTGAGCAAGAATAGATTGCTGCAGGACTCTGCCCCTGTCAGCCAGCTGGGAAGCTTGCTGCTTCAGTGGAAGAACTGCAGGCTGATCATTCCTCTGCAGGCTAGGCTAGACATCGGAAGTGGGAGCCTGCTTTAAGTCTGAGATCTGAGCCACATCACTGCTATTGCTGCTGCTGCTACTGGCTTCAGAACTTCCTCCTTTCTCAGTAGAAAGGCCTAGGGCCTCCCTACTGAAACGCCACTCCCTGGCAAAGGTGCCCTTCTCAGTCCACCTTGGCTCTTGGATCTTTGACCTGAAACTGGTAGCAACACAGCTGCTACTTGTCTCCACTGCCATCCCTCAGTGTGGGTCTGGCGGTGCCCTGGTACGGATCAGGCACCTCCTCATGCCCTCATGCACAGCCTCTACCTGGATACTAGAGTGCCATCCCTATTGTCTGCTGACCTCCCCGCCTGTCTCCCTGATGCAAGCTGGGCTGGACAAATGAGTCATTGACTTTCTGTATTTCCACATCAAGATTCAATCTAGTACATTTTCCAAATCTCTTTGGAAAAGCTTGTAGACAGGGCTCAGCACAGTGCTTCTTATCACTCCACCATCTTGACTCTACCTCCATAACCATCCTTTTGATGTACTGTTAATAGCCTTTCTAAAATGCACTCCAAAGATCCAAAACTTTTTGCACAGGACCTTATAACTCTTAAAAAATGCCTTCTAGGATTTTTTTTCTGGTGACATCATTTGTTCCCACGTGAATCACCAGAAGTAGGTAGTGTTCTCCAGGTTGGACAAGTCTTAGGAGACTATCCATTACATCCTTGAGAAAACAACTCTCCTCCCAATTATTCATCTCACAGAGACATAAGGCAACCACCAAACCCTTTAGGAGGGAATCACTAACCAACATCATAGGATCAAAGACTTAGAGGTGGAAGGGTCTTTATAGGTCTTCCAGGCTAACCCCCTTGTGTTATAGATGAGGAAACTGAGACCCAGACAAGATCAGTGACTTGCCTAAGCTCAACATGTAAGTGGCAGAGATGGGATTTGAACTCAGATCTTTTAACTCTAAAGCAAGTGTTTTTTCCACTATATCATGATACCTTTCATCTCTTCCTCTGACCAGTACTGGATATTCTTTCTCCTGGAGGAGCTTCTATAGAAAAAGCCTCAAATTTATCCCATAGTTCCAAAGGTTCAGTAGACTTCCTTCCCTTCTTTTTTCTGCATGACATTTTTCTACCCTCCAAATTCCTCATACAGGTTGAGATTTCACTCTGCCTCCTTATTCCTTTTCCCCTCACTTCGTTTTTATTTTGTTTTCGTTTTTTTTTGCTTTTTGGTGAGACAATCGGGATTAAGTGACTTGCCCAGGGTCACACAGCTAGTGAGTCTTATGTGTCTGAAGCTGGATTTGAACTCGGGTCCTCCTGGCTTCAGGGCCAGTGCTCTATCCACTGCACCACCTAGCTGCCCCCTTCCTCAATTCGTTTTTAACTCAAAGTACTTCTTCCACTCTTTCTAGGAGCACTTCTTTCTCCTGGATAAACTGGAGAGTAGACGTGTCCCTCCACTCTCTTTTGCTCTAGAATAGAAACGAGCTTTCACTTTATGCATCTATAGGTGCTACTTGATTCTGGGGAAACACAAACATGGGGGACGGGAATAAGCATTTCTTAAGCACCTACTATGTGCCAGGCACTGTGCTAAGCACTTTATAAATATTACATCTAACCCCTACAATGGCCCTGAGAGGTAAGTGCTACTATCATCCCCATTTTACAGTTGAGGAAACTGACGCAGACAGATTAATGCCGTGTCCCAGGGTATAGCTAATAAGTGTCTGGGGCTGGACTTGAACTTAGGTCTTCTAACTCCAGGCTCAGAACTCTATCTTCTTCACCATCCAAACTACTACAGGGTTTATTTTGCCTTTAGTATTTGCTTGAAGGAATGAATATCCTCAAATCTTTGTCTTTTTTTGGGGAATAGCTCTCTTGACTAACTTTTGTAGCTAAGAGCTAGGACAAACTACATATTTACCTATTCCTTGCTCTGAAAATTCTGTTGCTGGGAATTCATAAATAAGGCTTCATTTAGAGTGGGTTTCCTTCTATTTTTGTATGCTCAGCTGCCTTTAATGGATAGCAACTTCCTTCCATGAGCTAACACTGATAAACACAAGCAAAAGCTAATCCATAAACAGAAATCCAATTAATCTAATTAGATCTAGCTCCTTGTTTCTCCTTTTCACTGACTTGTAGATTGTTTCAGGTATCTCCCTGGCTGCTAGGCTCTCTGGTCCCACTTCGGGGAAAAGAGAGAAAGAGCAAAACTTAGGTTAATTCTAGTATTCTCCCTCTGTTGATTATTTTTAATTTATCCCGTACGTAACTTGTTTATATAGAATTATTTGTTTGTTATCTACACCATTAGACTGTAAGCTCCTTGAGGGCAGGGCACTGTCTTTTGCCTTTCTTTGTTTCCCTGGCTCTTAGCACTGTGCCTGGCACGAGGTAGGCACTTAATAAATGTTCACTGGCTACAGTTATGTAGAAGACAGAAGCAGCCACATGAGACAAGTACAGACCTAGGAACAGTCCAAGTCCTGAGAAAAAATCCAGACAGAATCTAATTCTGTCTACGACACTTTTCTTTGTCTCGTGCTGCTCTTTCTACTTACCTGACTGCTTGACTCTCACTCAGAGTGTGAATTGAAATAGAAACAGAGAAAATTCATTTTTGGGTGGAA